GGCCTCGAAGAGGAAGCTGTCGATGAGGAGCAGCTGGCGCAAGCGCCTGAGCTCACCAACGAGTTTGACGTTGCCTTGTCGACCGCCGACGAACTGACTCGTCTACACAAAGTGCTGCGCGATCACTACTCTATCCGATTTCCTGAGCTCGAGACGCTCGTGACTACCCCGATCGACTACGCGAAAACTGTCGCTATTCTGAAAAATGGCCCGCTCAACGATATCAAGGCTCTGTCGACCTCGCCAGATAACATGGTTGGCGTGCCACTGAGGTCGATCTTGGATGGGCCCTCCCTGATGGTTGTGGCCGTGGAGGGTACCACCACCCGAGGCCGGGAGATGACCGAGTCCGAACTCAAGACCGTGATGGATACATGCGAACGGATCCTGAAGCTCGATCGCGAACGTACGGCACTTACAGAGAGCATCCAGTCGCGAATGAGCCAGATCGCTCCCAACTTGGCGGCTTTGATCGGACCGGAGACAGCGGCTCAGTTCTTGAACCAGACCGGAGGTCTGCTTGAGCTAGCGAAGATCCCCGCGTGCAACCTAGCTGCACAGGGCTCGAAGCGGTCGGAGGGACTGGGATTTGCTACAAATATTGGTATTCGCTCTCAGGGATTTCTGTACAACTCGCCGATTATACAAGGTGTCCCGAACGACCTTAAGCGGCAGGCCATTCGCATCGTCTCTGCCAAGATGGTCCTTGCTACGCGAGCGGACGTCTCCAAGTACAGTCCTGACGGATCGCTCGGCGAAGAGCTGAAGCAGCAGTGTTTCCAGCGTCTGGAAAAGCTTACGGAACCCGCGCCGAACTCGGGCGTGAAGGCGCTCCCCGCTCCGGACGACAAGCCATCCCGTAAGCGAGGTGGACGACGGGCGAGAAAGGCAAAGGAAGCTGTCGCCATGACGGAACTCCGCAAAGCCCAGAACCGGGTTGCCTTTGGTAGGGAGGAGGCAGAAGTCGGATATGGTACCGGAGAGGGAACAGTCGGACTGGGCATGCTTGGCCAACAGAATGATGGGCGGATCCGCGCGACTCAGATCGACCAAAGAACCCGAGCGAAGCTTAGCAAAAACAACAAGGGATGGGGTACCGCAACCCCCGTCAGTGGCACATCTACATCTCTCCGTGCATTCGGCTCCAATGCTAGTGGGACGGCCAGTGTGCTTCAGGCGAAGGGGTTGCGGACCTCTGGAGTTGGCACCTCGCTGGGAGGATCAGCCGGTACTGCCAGTACTATTGCCTTCACGCCCGTGCAAGGATTGGAGTTGGTGGATCCTAAGGTACAAGCTGAGTTGAGTCGGAAACGCAAGGCCGAGGAGGATCGGTGGTTCAAATCTGGCACATTCACGCAAGTTGGTGGCCAGAGCAGCACAGCGCCTCAAGGGGGGAATGGAAGTTTTAAGGTTCCGGCATTGCCTCCGAAGAAGAAGGTCGATACAGGCGAGGGTAAGATGGCACCGCCACCGCCGCCGGTGAAGCAGTAAAGGGGGTCATTGTGTTTTTCAGGATTACGAGCATTCACAAGGCGTTATAACGTGGGATTTGCATGATACCATCAAGAACTGTATGATAGGATTAAACAAAAATACCAGTTGCTTAATTATGGTTTAGCTTCTTTGGTCATCAGTGAACGGTACTGTGCAAGGGTGCCGAATTCCATGCGAACCAGTGGACAGCTAGCCATGGTTCCAGACGGGATGGTGAAATTTCTCGGGCTGGGGATAGGCAAAGCCCAGCCCACACACCCTGATGGCGCAAGCCCGGAAGATATGTCGTGCTATTGTCTTGAATGTGACAATAACGGGCAAGAACTCAATTCTGCTGGGGGTTGCGCCGAGCAGTGTTTCATAGCACTTTTCTTTATTCTCCATTTGGCACACCGGCTGACCACCGTCCCCTAGCACTTGTCGTTATTGTCCCTGGGCAACATATTATAGAGCCCTAACCAACCACCGGAGATGTTGTAGTGCAGACCAATTGCATGTCGCACCCGGGGATCCGATGATAAGCATAAAATTAGTAGCCGATGATCATCCAGGCACCCGGGCTCTCAAAATTTGATCATCCAACGAGCAGTGCAACATTCTGGCTGACCGACTCAAGTGTCGGCATATTGCGTGCTTTGAGGGTGATCTGACCGATCTTGAATTTCATCGAGTAGAGGTCGGATCGGGTGGATCTGTATGAGCAGCTTTTCTATTGTCGGGTTTCATTTCTTCCTGTTTTCTTTAAATGGCGACGTTTATCCCATCATACTTCTTTCTTGTCTTTTTCCTTCTCTTATTGTCACTCTTTAGCATCACCTTCCACCTTTTTTGTTCCTACATACATACACCCCTATACACCACTCCATACTACTATTTTACACTACTACCATCATAGACCACCAGCCCTAGACACTACTACTAGAACAATGTCCCCCAGCATAACCTCACCACGTCCCTCCACCCCCGAAACCCAACATCAACGGCTCAAACCATCACCACCACCACCCACCAACATCCTCCTCAACCACCACACCCTCCTAACCACCAACCCCGAAGCCTTCAAATTCCAAGCCGCTGCATCCCTCCAACTTCGTCTCAACCCAACAATCCCCAATGATTCATCCCTAATACCACCACCTTCAGACACCAACCTCATCATCTCCCCTTACAACACCCCACACCACCTCCTCGACCTTCAGACCCTCAACCCGGCCTCCCAACTCCTCGCCAAAGCGCTGACCCTATTCCACCCCATTCGTCCCAACTACGCCACAGCGCCCTACACCGAGTCCTTCAACTGGGACAGTGTCTTTGGGTTTCTAAGGAAACAAGCGAAAAGCGAGGGATATACTTGGGGCAAGAGACACGAGAATATATTCTATGTGGTGGTGTTCCGGTCGACGTTGACGGCCGATGCAGATGGGGAGAAGTTGCATGTGTTGGATGAGATGTCGTTACGGGAGGCGGTGGCGGGGGGTGGATTGTTAAAGTATTGGTTTGGGAATGTGGATGAGGAGAGGAGGGGGTTGGCTACTTGTGAGTTCTCTACCCTCTCTTTTTTTTTTTCTTTAGAGTTTACTTCAGAAAAATGTTTGTGAGGAGGATGGATGTGCTAATAACGAGTGAATGATAGGTGTATGGCGCAGTCGGGAAGATGCAAGAAAAGGAGGGTCGGGACCATGGCATCGACGAGCACGTGGGGCGGCGAGGGAAATGTATGAACGAATTGAGTTCACGACATTGAAGTTGGTGGTGGGGGAGGATGAAGAAGGGAATTGGGGATGGGAGTTTGGGGAGTGGGTGGATGAATAGCTTGATCTTATCATATCATTGATTGGGTGTTCAATTGCTAATTGTTAATACTGCATGTATTTGATTCAAAGAAAGATCAGCAATGAAATTCTCGCTTGCAGCTTCGCTGACCGGAGAACATTTCTGAATCCAGAGTGGACAGCCAAAAGGGCAGCATTGCCCGCGGAGTGAATTCCCCACCCGCGCATTGTGGCGTTTCCAGAAGAGTATCATTCCACGCGGAGGTGGGGAGGGGGGAAGTTCCACTGGATTATTGTTCGCCAATCTCCAATCTGCTGATTGTAACATCCCCATTCATATTGCAGCCGATCAACTTGTCAAGTGTCAACCGTCATGGCTTTGCTGCATGGAACGTCCCTCAACGCGGGGCAGATCCCTATTCTCCAGATTTAGGATTAGGATACGTCACGACACATACCCCGGATAGATATAAAATATATATAAATAACCCTATACCCCAGTTCCTCTCCCCTCCCATCAGTTCAACCAGATAGTTCAACCAACACCACACTACTGAGTAGTACATACTACAAAATGCCCGGCGTCCTCACCCAAACCCTCGCCGTCAGCGACGGCCCCCTCACCTCCGAAAACGCCGCCCTCCTTCGCCCCTCCGACCCTAACCTCCCCCTCGACGAGCTCCGCGCCCGCTTCAACGCCGACGGCTACCTCTTCCTCAAAGGAGTTCTCCCCCGCGAGGACGTTCTCGAAGCCCGTCGCCAATACTTCTCCTACCTCGCCCCAACCGGCGTCCTCAAGACAGACAGCGACCCTGTCCACGGCATCTTCAACCCCGACAAGACCCCCGACGACTTCCCCGGCATCGGGGCTGGTGCGGCCGGTGGTAATGGCCGGCCGGGCGGGGAGAGCGCCGCACAATTCGTCGATCGCGCCATCGAGGCTCACTACAAGGACTGGTATGCCGAGAAGCTGGTCCAGCATCCGGCGCTATATGCCTTTATAGCCAAGTTCACTGGGTGGGGGGACAATACGTTGACGTTTAAGCGGACGCTATTGCGGAATAATATCCCCCAGACGAAGCCTATTGGGGTCCATTATGATCAGATCTTTATCAGACATGGGGAGCCCACGGCTGTGACGGCTTGGGTGCCTATTGGGGATATTAAGTTGAGTGGTGGAGGGTTGATTTATTTGGAGGATAGTATGTCTTCCATCTTGATTGTATGATGTGGGGATGCTGACGAGGACAGGTGATGTCGTGGGCCAGAAGATCGAGAATGAATTCACGGCCAAGGCTCTGGCAGCGGGCATGACGGAGGAAGAGGCTAAATATGCCTTCAACTCGAATATGATGTCCACGGGCATGTTGTCGGAGAATCCCGCCGAATTTGCCAAGGAGAATGGCCGGCGTTGGTTGGTTGCGGAATACGAGGCGGGGGATGTGGTGCTGCATAAGCCTCACATGGTAAGCAGCATCTAATTAGGAGCCTGTGGATAGTGCTGATGGGATTAGATCCACGCATCAACGGTGAACAATGACCCGGATAGAGTGATCCGGTTGGCGACGGATTTGCGGTTTGCAGACTCGTCCCGGCCGTATGATAAGGTTGGTTTATACCTGGATTGTGTGATGTATTGGATGGACACTGATAATGGTGCAGAGATGGATGAACTTTTACCGATTCAATGACGGTGTTTGATTGGTCAAATTGGGACAATGACAGTGTTGATTAATTGAACATAATTCTCATGACAGACATGATATGATCCTTCTACCTGCTTACTCCAATCCATAGCTTTGCTTTCTTTTCTGCGTTCATCTACTTCCTAGTAGATATATCAAACGTACAATGACAGATCCTAGGTCCTTCGTTAGCTTCCATACTCCCAAGACTGGATGATACCTACTGCTGATCATCACAGAACCCTCCAGTCCATCCACCGCCCTGTTCAATACACTGCACCCTTGGGTTAGCCTTTTCTTCTCGAGATTGATCAAGACCAGCATACCGTATTCCGACAGGCAAGGTTCGCAATGTCATCCCCACCACGGATCTGGCACGAGGTGGAATTGCTCAACATGATTTCCATGAGGGCAGCCAGGGCGGGCACACCCAACCCGAGGCAGGAGTAGAGGGTGACTAGGGCGGTTTTCATCGTGGTGTAGCTAGTATCTAGTTGGTGGCTAAGAGCTAGTGGATGTTGGCGGTGGTGGATGTCAACCAGAGAGAGTGCCCCTTGCTACGATAGGCCTAGGTAAGATTGGGGAGGGACCTTGGTCGACTGGCTAGCAGGGTAGCTGCATTCTGTGAGGGATCTGCAGAGGGGATTACTTGGATTGAAGCTCGTGCATGGCTGCGGATGGTCCGGTGCTACACAGCACGATCTGCTATCGATATGGCGAGGGATAGATACTCGGGATGTGACTCGTTGATCTTTCAATCTTTTGATGCCTTAATTGCTCATGCATTATCTTCATGCCCAAAGAGTTTGTTTTTGTTTCTCTGATCGCATTCACTAGTTATGGCTGCTTCGACGTGGCATCCCTTGCTGACGGCCTTAGGTAAGAGGGGGCCAGATGCACTGAGAGGAATGTCCAAAATCCGATTGTCGGCACCCCCAAGATTTGGGGCCAGTGGGATCCGCCGGTCGCGATGGATACCGGAGAACAATAGTCATCCTCCAGCTGTAGTTAGTCGGTTAATAGTTAACTAGTTATGAGGCAGATGGTTAGTCTTCAGGTTAAGTTCCGAGACCGAGGGGATGGACCAACGGCAGCAATCAGGAGAGGCACCGTCAGCACGCAGTCCGGAAGCATAGAAAGTCCGACCGCATCAGCCCCGCCGGCCGAGCTTTGCTCCGTTTGAATCCTTCACTCTTTCTTCCCCTCTCTCGCTCTCTCTCTCCGCCCTTTTATTTCTCTTCTTCCCCCTCTACTCTTACTCCCTCCCACTCTCCATCTTTCCTCACTTATCCTCCCCCCTTTTTTCTGTAAGCCATATCTCTCCATTCTTCTCATTCTTCTCACTGTCATCTTGACTGATTCTAACCATTGCCTCTCTAGTATCTTCACCACACACAACCATGGCTGCCCCCGCCCAGAAGTTCAAGGTCGCCGACATCGTACGTTCCCCGTTATACCATTCTACCATGATCTCAATTCTCATTCATGCCTCTAGTCCCTGGCTGCCTTCGGCCGCCGCGAGATCGAGCTCGCCGAGATTGAGATGCCCGGTCTCATGTCCATCCGCCGCAGATATGGTCCCGACCAGCCCCTCAAGGGTGCCCGTATCGCCGGTTGCCTGCACATGAGTATGTCGGCCTGACACTTTTCTACTTTGAAACCTTTTTAATCCCTTGCAGCCATCCAAACTGCCGTCCTCATCGAGACCCTCGTTGCCCTCGGTGCCGAGGTCACCTGGACCAGCTGCAACATCTTCTCCACCCAGGACCACGCCGCCGCCGCCATTGCCGCTGCCGGTGTCCCTGTGTAAGTTAAAACTGTATACCAATCTATCGGCTCGATCTAATAATTGATAGCTTCGCCTGGAAGGGTGAGACCGAGGAGGAGTACAACTGGTGCTTGGACCAGCAGCTCTCCGCCTTCAAGGATGGCAAGAAGCTCAACCTCATCCTCGACGACGGTGGTGACCTGACCTCCCTCGTTCACGAGAAGTACCCCGAGCAGCTCAAGGACTGCTACGGTCTGTCTGAGGAGACCACCACTGGTGTCCACCACCTCTACCGCATGCTCAAGGAGGGCAAGCTCCTTGTCCCCGCCATCAACGTCAACGACTCCGTCACCAAGTCCAAGTTCGACAACCTGTACGGTTGCCGTGAGTCCCTCATTGATGGTATCAAGCGCGCCACCGATGTCATGATCGCTGGTAAGGTTGCCGTTGTCGCTGGTTACGGTGATGTCGGCAAGGGCTGTGCCGATGCTCTCCGCAGCATGGGTGCCCGCGTCCTGGTCACCGAGATTGACCCCATCAACGCCCTCCAGGCTGCTGTCCAGGGCTACCAGGTCACCACCATGGAGGAGGCTGCTCCCCAGGGTCAGATCTTCGTCACCACCACTGGTTGCCGTGACATCCTCGTCGGCCGTCACTTTGAGGTGATGCGCAACGACGCCATTGTTTGCAGTACGTCCCTTCTATCAAAATCTCGTGAATCACGCTAACTGCTCAGACATCGGTCACTTCGACATTGAGATCGACGTTGCCTGGCTCAAGGCCAACGCCAAGTCGGTCCAGAACATCAAGCCCCAGGTTGACCGCTACACCATGGCCAACGGCCGCCACATCATCCTGTTGGCCGAGGGTCGTCTCGTCAACCTTGGCTGTGCCACCGGCCACTCTTCCTTCGTCATGTCCTGCTCTTTCTCCAACCAGGTCCTTGCCCAGATTGCTCTGTTCAAGGCCGAGGACGCCGAGTTCGGCAAGAAGTACGTCGAGTTCGGTACCACCGGCAAGAAGCCCGTCGGTGTCTACGTTCTCCCCAAGGCTCTCGATGAGCAGGTCGCTCTCCAGCACTTGGAGCACGTCAACGCCAAGCTGTCTCAGCTCACCCCCGTCCAGGCTGAGTACCTTGGCCTGGAGGTCACCGGACCTTTCAAGGCTGACCAGTAAGCTCTCCTATACCCAAAACTTTAATATATTGGCAGCTACTGACTAAGTGAAATAGCTACCGCTACTAGATGTCGAAATCCTACTGCTAGACTTCAACATTCACGATGTTACGACGACATATACAGGGTTCTTTATCAACATGGGGCTCAAAAGCATTGTCTTCAACGGCAAATAAAAGTGGCTGGGTATGGCTAGGGTTGCATTGGTGGTTGTGGAGTAATTGTTCAACAGAAGATACCAGATAATTGAATACATCATATTCCTACTACAGTAGTTTACTAAAATACCTCCCCCTCCCCACAACTAGATATACTTACAGCTGAATCTCCTTAAACTTCCTCGCATTCTCCTCCAACGCCACCTCGACAGGCAACCTCTCCATACTACTCGCCCCAAAGAACCCATGCACCCCCTTACACCTCTGCAACACATACTCCGCATCCTCCGGCCCCGCCAACGGCCCCCCATGACACAACACAATCACCTCCGGATTCACCTTCACCACCGCATCCCGCACCTCCTGCACCACCTTGACACACTCATCCAACGTCAACGCCGTCTGCGCCCCAATCGTCCCACTCGTCGTCAATCCCACATGTACCACAATCACATCCGCGCCCGCGCGCGCCATCATCTCTCCTTCCTTCACATTGAACACGTACGGCGTCGTCACCAGATCCATTTCCCTAGCGATGCGAATCATCTCCACTTCCTTCTCATATCCCATCCCCGTCTCTTCGAGGTTCGCGCGGAAGTTCCCGTCGATCAGACCGACTGTCGGGAAGTTTTGCACTCCCACGAACCCGATGTCGCGTAGTTGGCGCAGGAAGGTCCGCATGTCTCGGAAGGGGTCGGTGCCGCAGACGCCTGCGAGGACGGGGGTGTTTTCGATGAGGGGGAGGACTTCGTTGGACTGTTCTTTTGGTTAGTATTGGTGGTGGGAGGGAAGGGAGAGGGGGAGGGGGAGGGTATGTACCATTTCGACCACTACGGCGTTGGCGTCTGAGTAGGGCATCATGCCTGCGAGAGAGCCTCGGCCTGCCATGCGGAATCGCCCCGAGTTGTAGACGAGGATTAGGTCGGCACCGCCTTTTTCGATGAATTTGGCGGAGAGGCCGATTCCTGTGTTTTATGTCATTGTTGTGGTTAGTGGTGTTGATGTTGATGCTAATGATTGGGAATATGGGTGAGGAGGGTTTGGCATTGAAGGGATGGATGGGCACTTACCGGCTCCCGCACCGATGATGATGGAACCATCGGCGATGGTTTTGCGAAGACGGTCGAGGACTTCTTGTCGGGTGGTTGGGCGGGGCATAGTGATGTTGTTGTGTATGTGTGTATGTATTTATGTTGGAGTATGTTGGGTGATTGTAGTAGGTATTAAGAGAGTAGTATGTTATATACTAAATCGAGGGCTAGTGGAGGACAGTTGAGGATGGGCCTTAAATACTAACCTCCGACCTACAAAAGTCGGAATTATGACGAATGAAAGAATGTCGGAAACAAACATCCCCGTGATAGTGTGACTGTATCTCCGAAGGAGGGGTAGGAGGGGGTATGCCAAATCATCAGTGGATCAGGCGGTTACCACATAATTGATAGTCAAGTATCCAGTTTGGTGGCGGATGAGTGGTGCTTTTACCACTTCAGCTGCGGATCGTCCGGGATTTGACCCACGGCTAACCCTAACTAGTCTGCACCGGCGTGCTTTTATCTGCAACTGAGACTCCTCTCTTCTGCGTGATTAATTTATTTTATCTCGCCTCGAGGTTTTTTAAAGTTCCTGCGACAAGTCCCAGTCGGTATTACGCACGATAGTAGTCTCCGACATGACGGTGCAGCGCAAGGCCGATCAGTTCCTCAGCTGCCTGCCACCAGCCACAGTGTAACATGCCCCTCTTCAACGTTATAAACCCCATTCCCTTTGAATAGTAGTAACATCACCTGCTCTACAACTCCTCCCATATCTACAGGAAATCAAATTCATAGTATACTGCAACATGCCAACCATCCTCCTCCTCGGCACCTGCGACACAAAATGGTCCGAACTACTCTACCTCCACTCCCAACTAACCTCTAACCCCTCCATCTCCGTCCTTCTCATGGACGTCGGCCGCGCCGCCACCTCCTCTCCCCTCATCAGCATTCCTCATCCCAGCCTCGACAGCAAAACAATCGACTACACCCAGCTTTCCCGAAACGACTACATCCAATCCATCACCCATCTCTCCACCCCCACCGTTGCCGACCTCTACCACAATGGCAAAATCCACACCATCCTCTCCATCGGCGGCAGCTGCGGCACCACCATCGCAACCACCATCATGCGCGATGCCCTTCCCATCGGATTCCCGAAACTGATGGTCTCCACCATGGCCTCCGGCGACGTGGGTCCCTACATCCAGGAAACAGACATCACCATGATGTACAGTGTCGTCGACGTAGCCGGCACAAACAGCATTCTGAACAGAATCCTTCGCAACGCGGCAGCCGCAGGAACCGGAATGGCGATATCATACCACGACCAGCTTCATACCTCTGAGTGTAATAGCACGAACGGACATGCCCAGAATGGACACCAGAAGCAGAATGAGACCAAGCAGGAAACACCCAAGAAAACCAAAATCGGCATCACCATGTTCGGCGTCACCACACCCGCCGTAACCCAAATCCGCACCTACCTGGAATCCCACCTCCCGGATGCATGCGAAATTTACGTCTTCCACGCCACCGGCTCCGGCGGAAAAGCCATGGAGAGACTAATCCGCGAACAACAACTCGACGCCGTCGTGGATTTGACCACCTCCGAGATCGTGGATGAGCTCGCCGGCGGGGTATTGTCCGCCGGACCGGGACGATTAGACGCCGCGGCGGAGAGGGGCATCCCGCAGGTGGTGAGTGTGGGGGCGTGCGATATGATTAATTTTGGGACGAAGGATACGATTCCCGAACGGTTCAGCGGGAGGAGGATCTATGAGCATAATCCGACGGTGACGATTGTGAGGACGGATGAGGAGGAGAATCGACGGATCGGTGAGTTTATTGTGTGGAAGTTGGGGAAGGCGAGGTGTCCGGAGAACGTGGTGGTTATGTTGCCGACGGGGGGAATCAGTATGATGGATGTTCCGGGGAATAATTTCTATGATGGGGAGGTAGATGAAGCGTTGTTTGGGACGGTGGAGAAGGGGTTGGAGGGATCCGGGGTGAGGGTTGTGAGGTGCCAGGGGGATGTGAATTGTAGGGAATTTACGGATAGTGTAGGGGAGACGTTATTAGGGTTGTTGAAAGAGTGTAGTCAGTAAATTGTAGTATAGTTGAACTGAATTTAGGGTATATGTTAACTTTCATCTACTATGTAGATCAAACCTACTTAATAGCACATCTTAACCTTGGTGCCGCCGGAGCACCAATGAGGTAATTTCCCGGTGGCCATTTACCCGAGTTACAGTTTCTCTGAAACTTAAGTATAAATTGAATTCCCCAACGATCATTCTTGTACATTTCACTTCTGTTTCAGAGATACTACACAACAGTACATTTACATCAACCAACATGTCCCGTTCACTCGAAGGCAAATTCGCCATCGTCACCGGTGGCTCCCGGGGTACCCCATTCCCATCCCCATCCCCCATACCCTCCCCACCACCCCACTAACGTCCCCCAGGAATCGGCGAAGCCATCGCCCACAACCTCGCCAGCAAAGGCTGCTCCCTCCTCCTAAACTACACCTCTGACAGCTCCCGCGCACGCACCGAATCCCTCTGTAGCACCCTCTCCACCACGCACAACATAACCTGCATCCCCGTGCAAGCCGACCTCTCGGACCCCACCCCCGCCATCAGCACCATCCTCTCCGCCGCCAAAACCCACTTCACCTCGCCTACTACAAACACCCTAACAATCGACATCCTAATCAACAACGCCGGCGTCAGCAAAGACCGCTTCCTCAACGACCCCTCCTCGGGCCCCATCGACCCCGCCTACTTCAACTGGCACTACACCATCAACGTGCTCGCCCCGCTGCTCCTCACGCAAGCCTGCGCCGAGTACCTCCCCCGCAAACCCGCGCACAGCGGCCGCATCATCAACATCTCGAGTATTTCCTCCTCGTTGGGGTTCACGGGCCAGTCGGTGTATGGGGGTACCAAGGCGGCGTTGGAAGCGATGACGAGGACGTGGGCGAGGGAGTTGGCGGACGTGGCGACGGTGAATGCGGTGAATCCGGGTCCCGTGGTCGGGGATATGTATTTTGCTACGGGTGAGGAGTTTTGGAAGCAGATGCAGGGGTTTCAGGATAATGCGCCGTTGAGTAAGTTGCAGGATGGGGAGGAGGGGTTGAGTGAGGAGCAGGAGAGGTTGATTAGGGAGAAGATGGGAGGTAGGAGACCTGCGTTTACGAGGGAGATTGCCGGGGTTGTGGGGATGCTTTGTACGGAGGATGGGGCGTGGTGTACCGGAAGTGTGGTTTGTGCTAATGGCGGGTTGAAGTTTACTACTTAGTTGGTGTTGGACTTGGGGTTTTCGGGTTGGGGGGTTATGTAGGGTTGAGGAATTATTAGAATAGACTGGTGGTGTGGGAACCATGTTAACGATACATTGAATTACTTATCTTATTATTGAATCACGTCCTGAATCGACCTAGAGTTCTAGTATTTTGCTAAGTAGTCGAGTGGCTATGCATCTGGAGGATATATCTCCTAAGGTGCACTATGAGTTGGTTGTGATAGGTAGTTCTCTGCATTGGGTATACTAGAATCTGTGGGTTTTGCTTACAGTGTTCGAACTGTGCCATAAGAGCAGTTGCTTATGTTTTAGTTGCCGATAGATAATAATAATAACAACCAGTCGCTGGTATAGAATTACTATATAAATATCGGTGTATAGCTCTCGGTATGCGAGTTAGGGTTATGCACGTTCCCGTCAGCCTCGTGCCGTGACTACCGTAACCCTAACTTCTCGACTGCCACGTTCGCTCCGACATGGGGCGTTTCAACGTCTGCTAAGTGGAAGATGTAGAACTAAAAAAGGTGCAGAAAGAGAAGAAAGTCTTAGTGACTTAGATCGATCATTACATTTTATGTTAAATTCAGTAGTGTTTAAAGATGCAAAAGAGTGGCAGAAACGAAGGGGATGCCTGTGTGTTCCTGCCCTGTTTGGTAGGCACGCTGCATCGACAACCTAGCCATATCAGCCAGCATGCCATACGAGCATGCTCTAATGGATGCGAGTACCGGATAGAACGGCAATAGCAAAGTGGATAGCCTAATTTTGGTCATATTTAGGTTAGATTTAAAGTGAAACGCTAGTACCGTCGGTAAATTCATAGTATCAGTAGCTGTTTGTTTGCTGATAGCCCAAGCATTATAGTCATATGTATAGAATTAAGTGCAACTGAATATTGAAAATATCGCTGACAATAAAACCAATCACTTTCCACTCACCTATATCTATACCCTCACTATTTATGCATAAATTAAGCAAGCTTCCGGGCTGGTCTGGGCTCGGCGGAATCCCGCCCAAGTGTGGGGCCGCCAGGCCACGCACGCAGATGACTAAGCCTCTAGGCAGCGATAAAGTTCTCCTGGACCCTGAAGGGTCTTATTCATGCATTTCCCGCCGGGGAATCTCATTCCCGCTTAATTAGCATCTTCCAGTGTCATTTGACCCATGCAGTCTGTCAGCATGGATGCAGATATCCTCGATATTGTGGCCCAACGTGGCGGGAGGGCCAGGAGTGCATGTGACCTGTGCCGGCATAAAAAGGTGCTACCCTATACCCTTTACTTAGTACGGGCTCATCACTGATACGGGTTAGATTCGATGCGATGGAGAGAAACCAGCATGTGAGAATTGTCATTTTGCTGGTGTTACCTGCACGTTTACCGTGACTGGTCAACCCAGGAAGACTATTAGAGAGTATGTTTCTTATGGCAAATATAGTAGTAACATCACTGCTATACCCAGTGGTGAATTAACTATAACATTATCTCTAATTCTCACAGACAACTTGCTGAAGCCAAGGCTCGTGTACAAGAATTGGAAAGCTTCATTGCCGGCCGTCATCTCCCAGGAGCAGTTTCACCAATCATCCAGTTGCAGGACCAACTGCGATCTGCCTCACCATGTCCGCCCATGTCGCTCTTTGCCGCGCCATCGCATCCCCAGGACTCGTCGGACTTCGACATAGCCATGGAAATCTTCAAACAGCACCTGGAAATTTCCTGGCCAGGCACTACTAACTCTCCTCAGCGTAACTCATTCCATGCTACTGTCTACCGCCAAACCGGCGCTGTCTTGGACTTGCACGGCTTCTTAGCCCGTGTGACAGAGTCTTACAAGGCCCAGTATGCTTCCATCTCGCCAGCAATCTCTACTCCCCAGTGGCCCAGCTACGCACTGATCCAGAAGTGTCTCGACTACTACGCCGCCAAGAGCATGTACTCGATGTTTCCTATTGTGGATGTACCTGCTTCCCAGGCTGTCCTTGATGCCCTCGTCTCTGGCCGCACAGATCCCCCGCCTACCACGGCGGAAAAGGCACATCTCTTCGCCTTCGCAGCCTTTATCACCAAGCAGCATCAACACCAGCCGCAGTTTGCAGGTACAGACCCGGACGCTTACGTGCAGGCTGTACTGACATTAGTACCTAAGCTCATGCTTGAGCTAGCTAGTGTGTGGAAACTAGAAACATTCGTCATATTGGTATCTTTTCTTTCTTTTCTACCATACCTCCCATATTCTAAAACAGATAGGCCCTTCACATCGCCCCAGCAGGCTACCCCCAACAAGCCCAACTCCTCCTCTCAACCGCCATCCGCATTTTGTATCAATTAGGCGGCCACCGCATCACCCCTCCCCCAGAATACCAACCACAGGCCTCCTCCACAACCACTAACAACACTAAATCCCACTCTCACCTCCGCGCCATCTTCTGGCTCTGCTACGGCATGGACAAAGAAATGTGCATCCGCAGCTGCTCCCCACCCCTCATCCACGACATCGACGTCGACCTCGACTTTCCCCAAACCTACATCGGCTCTACCACCCACTCTCCCCCACCACCCCGACAATCATCATCATCATCAGCATCACTATCATCATACAATAGTACCGAAATCCCCCTCCTCTACCCAACAGACATCCGCCTCGCCATCTTCAAATCCCACATCTACAACCGCCTCTACTCCAGCCACGCCCAATCCCTCCCTGAAGCCCGCCGTCTCGCTCACATCCGCCAACTCGACCAGGATCTGAGTGAACTATACGCCGAATTCCCCTTAGGACATACACCTGTACACACACCTAGATCCGAAACAAGCACCCCCAACCATCAAGATCCAACAATACCCTCCTCCTCCTCTAACGAAGAAAGTAGTAACCATAAACTGGTCAATATCCGCCCTATCAGCATCCACCTCGAATACCACTACTGTATTCGAAAACTGCACGAAGCAAGCATCACAACTAGCTTATCTGTCGTCTCGGCCCCGCTTGCTTCGAGTCTGGAACTGTATTACCAGGCGTCGAGGTCGACATTACTATATTACCTGAATTCAGGGAAGGGGGGGCTGGTGGATCGGTTTAGTTTTTGGTGAGTACACACATTTTCCAAACCATTATCGTTATTTCCAGCTATGCGTACATAGTATACTAATACGAAGGATAATAGGATCCACGCACAATTCATCCTTTCCGCCATTCTCACTGTCTTCTGGTGTCTGATCGAGAACCCCGATCCTCGGAATGTGTCGTTTACGAGGGATTTGAGGATGTTGGAGGATATGAGGGGATTGTTTGCTTGTGAAGTGTTCGATTTGGAGGGGGAGGGGAGGTTCTTTCCCCCGGCGTATATTGTCGATGGATTTTTGAGCTGGTTGGTTTCGTTGGTTAGGGTTGCGGTGGAGAGGGAGGGGGTTCGGCGTGGTCGGGCTTCGTGATGTGTCTTCTACTTCTTCTTCTTCTTCTTCTTCTTCTTCTTCTTCTTATTTTTATTTACTTATAGATTTTTCATTGGGATCATGTTGGGTGTTTGTTGGGACTTTGGTTCTGGTTCGGTGTGTATAAGATTGTATTTTATGTATGGTGTCTTCTATAGCTGGCTGGACTGTCTCTGGATACTGTTCTGCTGTGTTGAGGGCTGTGTAGTCCATTTGTATTATATTATCAGAGGGACTATGAGGTCAGGATGATCTTTATGAAAGGTAATGAAAGTTGCAGAGGCAATGGTCAAGGAGACATCGGTGTTAGTCTCAGCAATATAGATTAAACTGGTGTTCAGTAAAAAGGCTATCTAGAGCGAGTGACGAAGAATTTAAAAGACCCCCCACATCATCATTGTCAATCATACTATCTCTGCACAGATATCTCTCCATGATCTCCATCAGTCCAGAGCATCTTATCCCTGGATATGCCGGAGGACATAACATCCACCCAATCTCAAGGCGAGCATAGGCTCAGTCATGGCCAGGTACGCCAAGGGTTTCATTGTAGATATACCAGCCATTGACTGGATTATACAAGTCATACGGCGTAACTCCTGTCAGCACGTCGTAATTCGTTTGTTTACACCCTTGCTGGCCCAGCCTGATGCAGGGAGCCAGGAATTCGGCCACGTGTTTGCCCTCATAATAGGCCCCGTGCAGGTAGCCAAAGAACTCCTGGCTGGTGGCTTCACCGGCAAAGAAGACGCTGTCGACATTAGCGCGGAGATTCTGATGTTCTTGTAAACTGGTCGATGGTGGCCAGTACGAGTAGGATCCGTAGGACCTGAAAGGGTTAGTGCTGCTGCTGTTGTCCCAGAGTGGCCTAGACATCTCACCAATCTTCCGTAGACCATCTCGGATAGTATATTTCTTCCAATTCGGAAACCTTATCACCATACATGTTCTTCAGCACCTCAAGGAGCTCCTGCGCCGTCTCCTCGTTTGTCTGTGACTCGACGCGGTAAGAACGCTCTCCGGTCACCGTGGCCACAAGAATGTTAGAGTCCTTATACAACCCGGGAATGTCCAATGGCTGGAATACGGGGTAATTGCCGCGAACATGAGGATCTGCCCACAGAAGGAATTGCGTTTTGTCCCAGAAACTGCTCTTGAACTTGAGGAAAATCTTGGTGTATGTGCCTATTTCGAAGCCAGCTATGCTCTGGGCTTTCCAAGGTGGAAGTGGCGGGTCAAAGTTTACTCTTCCTCTCTGCAAAACTCCCAGGGAGAAGGTCACAATGGCATATTTAGCTTTGAAGCATTCCTGGTCGCTAGTCACAGTGACCCCGTCCAAATCGTGCTTGATGTCGGTCACTTTGTGATTGAAGAGAACACGATCTGCATGCTTGTTGAGAACGTCGCTCACATTGTTCCGCAAAGCAGAAACGTATCCGTGATCATCGCAGACGAAATAGTCACCCTTTGAGAAGTAATCATAGGTAGCGATCGTGGAGATAGCGCCGAAAACTTCTGAATTCTCCTCTGGCGGCGATGCAGCCTCCCAATCCCAGGCCCACCAGTCGGCCAGCTGTCCGGCTGGATCGGTCTTTGCCGGATCCCAGTGCTGAAGGCGTTGACCGGCCCGGAAGGACCGATCCTGGTAATTTTTTTTTTCAGGATATCGACGGCGTCGATCAACACATTTCCAGTAGCGGTCTCAGCTTCCTCTAGGGCAGCTTGGACAGCATCTCTGCTTTTTTCAGGGTACACGACCCTATCCTCATTCTCGGTTTTACTGATAGGGCTTTTAGCAACACTGTTCCTCCGCCTCGGACTAGAATGGTGGTGTGGGAAAGGCGGGGAATTTCTTACACATTATTCAACTTCGCCCTTTCAACCTACATTAAGTTAGCCATCTCATCAACGACCACACAACCAAGGATCCACCTACCATAGTCCAAATGGGATTAACATTGCCGGTTTCTGGCCTTCCAGGTCCATGAACCTAACTGGTCAACATTGATTCATGATTCAGCCGTTGTAGGAGTTGTTGAATGATACACACTCAGTTGGCGCCAGCCTCAATCTTATGCCCAGCAAAATTGCGACTGTAAAGCCGGCCACCAGATTCATTCCTAGCTTCAAGCACTATGAAATCATTGACGCCGTTGTCTAAGAGGGTTTGCTGTTATGGTCAGCTGTATCCAGCACGCGAGATGTAAAGGAACCTACAGCGGCGGTAAGACCGGCTACTCCAGCTCCACTGCGCGTGTGAGTCAACGGTTTATGAGTATCTTGGTATCAGCTTACAGAATCAAAACGTCTGTATCCTTGCAAGTAGGCTCAGCAAGGGGCGCAGCATGCGCCACCAACACTGGCAGTGCCACTGCAGCAGCACGAACGAATTTCATGGTGTCGGCTGGCTAGATGCCACTGTTGAGCATATTTTCCAGAGCCAGAGGTAAGTAATTTGTAGCTCCTTTTATGTCCACTTAAGATATTGTTTAGATGTTCTTGCCCGGGAAAGGGATCCGTTTGTATAGAAGAAGAATGTGCAAGGAATGCGGGGGGGTGTACCTGACGTTGAGCGACTTAGCTCAGGATACACCTGTCTCATGCCGGACATCGGCTCGTAATAATAAGAATGGGTGCAAGATGGCCCCTGGACATAGCCGGCCTCGCTAGGGGTGCTGCTGAGTATATTGTTAGCTGTGACATGTTGACAGCTTTCCGGTGAGGCAGAGGCAGAGGAATCGAGAAACAAGGAATAAATTTGTGGAGGCTTTATGAACTATGCCATACGATGTCCTCATCAATGTAGGACAAAACTATCAAGATCCAGTCAACTTTCAAATATCTTCAAGGGGATGCAAAACATTGGGGTAGGTCACTACACCTCCGCGGAGCATAGCAGACACAGGATGCAGAGCTGAGGGAGGACATGCCGGAGTGTCGAGACAGGTATGCATAACCCCTAATTGCTATGGAACTACCATTTACAGTATTTATCGACATGACACTCTTCAGCACCTCCCGTTCTTCAAGCGAATGAGTGGAAGGCGAACGGTTGCTGGTCGATCATAGTACATTGGGCGGGTGCCAAACAGCAAGCAAGTTATGCCAAGTGAGCCTTCTCACCAAGCATTGTCAATATTATAGGGACAGAATTGACCTGAATAGGTGATTTATCTAGACGTATTCCATTTAGTGCGAAGAATACTAAGCTTCAAACGATGCAACAGACTTAGTCCAGCTCGGAACTATACGACCATAGTCAATTTCCTGGCCTTGTCCTTGATATCTCCATCTACTAATATAAGCGGGTGTACTTCCAGCGCCACCATTCTTCGTAGCATAAACACCAACAAGCGCGCCTACAACTGTCAACACTGCAAGGAAAAGGAATCGATAATGTCAAGGGCCAACATACCAGTGAATCGACCACTGCCACCACTGACAATCCTCGTATCTGCCCACCCAATGACTTTCTTATGGCCCGGGTTCCTTGATGGCGCAGCGGCAAAGGCATACGCCGTGTCGTTGACAGCCTGAATCTCAAGCCTGATAGTGTCTGCTTGCCATTCCTTTGGCACAGAAATAGTCTGTCCAGGAAGAGGGCCATCATAATTACCTCGGCCTTCAACACGGAATCTGAATGACAGATTATTCTGTAGCAACACGATACCCAAATCAATGTGCTGTTCCTGAGTCAAAAACACCGTAACCCCAGCTTCCTCACCATTCACCTGAGGATCAAACGATATATCCACACTATACGTGAACAACGTATCCGTCTGCCGACGCATAACCAGCGTCAACCCATCATCCGGCTTGAACGCCGGCGTTCCTGTTAGATTATTAAACGAAGGAGTCAGCCTCAAAGTATTAGGATACCCCTCCGGTGAAACCACAAAATTCTCCGTCCTCGGATACCTCCAATACACGAAATGTGCTGGAATCGCCGACCCCGGATCGAAATCCACTCTATCAGGCTGATCAATCCAACCCCCCTCACCAACTGCAATCCCCCTATCCTCCGACATCAAAGGCCCACTCATCACGCCCCGAACAGGCTGCACAAGTGGCCATTCGCCCTCCTCCCACCTCGCCGGCGCAAGAACCGTCTCTCTCCCCATGGGATAATTCTTCCACGCCGGCCCAGACCGGGTACTCAGCGCCACAGCCCACCAATCTCCCACACTATCTTGAAACAGATCCGCATGTCCGACCGTCTGGAAATACTGCGTCGTATTCCGATTCGTCAACAGCGGATTCCGGGGATAAGCTTCCCACGGCCCGGTCCGGAACCTTGACCGAGCAATCGTCTCCGAGTGGCCAAGTTCAGTCCCTCCCTCGGCGATCATAAGGTAGTAGTATCCGTCTTTGCGGAAAATGTGCGGCCCCTCGGGACTGGATCCTCCAGTGCCGTTCCAGAGGTTGTGGATGGGGCCGGTGGCCCCGGTAGTTAGATCGAGGGAGTACTGCTGGATGTGGTTTCCGCTGGAGGAGCCACTGTTCGCAGATGTCACGTAGACGGTACCGTCATCGTCCCAGAAGATGTCCGGGTCGATGCCTGTGACGGTGAAGACGAGGGGGTCGGTCCAGGCGGAGTTGTTGTAGGGGTTGGTGGTGGTGAAGAGGAGGCCTTGGATGTCTGTGCCGAGGTAGGTGACGATCAGGTAGAAGGTACCATTGTGGTAGCGCAGGGTTGGGGCGTAGATGCCGCCTTGTTGGTCTGTGGTGTTTCGGAGATCGGGGATTTGAGAGGGCCGGTTGAAAGCGTTGCTGGCGAGTTTCCAGTTCTGCAGGTCTTTACTGGCATAGATGGGGAGACCGGGGTAGGCGATGAAAGTGGAGGTGGCGCAGAAGGTGGTGTTGTGTTCCGGGACGTGCGCACATGTTGGGTCGGAGTGCCAGCCGGGGAGAATAGGGTTGGTGTAGGTGTGGTTTGATGTAGGAGAGGAGGATGCAGTGATTGACAGTAGGGTAGCTGCGAGGAGGGTTGAGAGCCACATGGTGAGATGTGGTTAATACGTTATAAGGAAACAGATGCAAGCATGCTTGAGGGTTTTATAGGTGACTGCTCCGACGGTGCTTGGAGGCGGGCTGTGGCGGTTTTAGGCTAAAGGGAAGCTCTGGGTTAAATGCGACACCAACATGGTGAGGATGAGTTGAGTTGATCTCTTGGCCTTTCAATAATGGCTGATTAGCAGATCGACATCCTTGGCTAAGTGCATCTCGGGAATTGTAGGGGCTATAAACAGTCCTCATAGCCATGATGCTATATGAATAAATCTATGAAGAAGATGAACAGGTCTAGACGCTGATGTTCTCGCTGCATTGCTATACAACACCTGAACACTGAGGGGTATTCAGCAAAGGCTCCATATATAGTGTCAACGCGCTATTGAGTGGACCAATAACGGTTTAGTATCGCGTCTATCTGAAAGCAGACGGAGAGATATGTTCCAGCATGCAGCAGTGGTATCAGTTTTGGAAACTGTTCGCAGGTGGGAACCTGATCTTTGCCTGTCAAATGGCTTCTCGTCACAGGCTTGTTCCAATCTCTAGCGTCGAAGAGATGTCTTGTTTCCGGACCAAATCGTAAATCAATCTTTTCTCCATCGGCGAGTTGAAGGAAATGCAAGAGGATTCTGACCAGAGCAGAGGTATTAGTAGCCTCTTCATACACATATATGTCACATGCTCTGTTGCAGCCTTAAGCAGAACTGGGTCTGCCTGCATGTTCTCAGCATTCTTGGGCAATCTTGAGATTGCATTGGGCTTCCACCAAATCCTGATGCTTGATAGTTCTCCATAGTAGGCATAGGCGGGAAAGCTGTTATCGAAAATCATGTTGAAAACAACAATGTGACAAGAGTGTCTGACTTTGACACTGCCATCCAAGCGCCTAAAAGGGGGCTTGTAAAATCTTCTTAAGACAGGCCAGAAGTCGAATATAAAGCTTTCATTCACATTTTGGAATGTCGTAGTGAGAAGCGCGGTATATAAGAAGCAAAGAAAGTATATGTTCAATCTTCAAAGGTTCTCCATACCAGTATAGCCTCAAGGGAAATTTGAGCTTCAATCTGTATAATATCTCATATGTATACCATATATAATTGTACCCTATAATATCGCCAAGTATCCTGAATATTTTTTGACTCTTCTCCGCATATTATAAAAGGGTTGGTTGAGAGTAGCTGACTTTATATAAGATTTGTTATAGTCGAGGACAAGACTCCCTATCAGTCATGTAAATTTGTGAACCCATCTATGAATGCATATGTGAATGAATGCATGAATTGATATATAAATAGATTAGGGAATGCTTTCAGCAGTATAGCTGAATCATAAGGCTGTGATAGTAGTAGCAGTGAATGTAGGCGACTAAAGGGGACTGCTCCTTTTGCCCCAAATTCTTTATCTATTGGTCCTTATAAATCGAAGGGCGAATTGCTATTGGTTCATTTTCTGTAGGTATTAGCAAAAGTTTGGACGGAATTTCCCTGGCAGAGTAATTTACCTACGTGACAGACTGCTTGGCTGAAGCCTACAGGGCTTGAGCAGGCAATCTTGATCGATGCAGAGGATGCTAATGGGGTGGAATTGTGTAATAAAACTTTTGTTCACATGAAATTAGCTCCTTTTTACTTGCTCGTCTTAAGGACACAGGGGATATTCACCGAACCATGTTCTATCAATATACATTATTGCCACTAACTAGTCCTTTCACAGTGATATAGCTTAGACTCATACTTTTATCACTAAACAGTTGCTTGTCTAGATATGTCTTGTGTGCAAGTGAAATGTTATTCCTGGGAACGCCTGACCGCAACTCAGCTCTTGCAGGATCCTTCATTTAGGGCTATCATGGACATATATGACTGTTGATACTCACCTTGGTACTTGTTTTCTGCTATGACTGTGTCCTTGCTAGCGATAGAGTATTTGTCTCATTATCACAATCACCGGGACATACTAACCACTGAATCACTGGCTACCACGATCCCCGATGGAAGAAAACCAATTGAATAATGGCAAAAATCATTATCATCATTACAATAGATATTTAGAGTAGAAGACAACAATAACCTAACCAAGACATGTGTCACGCAACTCTTCAACCAGTTAAACTAGTTAAAGTAAGGGCACACCCCGGTTAGTCAGCACGGTCCATCCCCAACCGACGTCATCCCATCATTGCAACCATCACCTCCATCTATCCTATCTATCCATTAACCACCATCCTCATCTCAATTCATATCCGAAATGTCTCTCCGGATCCCTCTTCGCGGAATACACCTCTCCCGCTCTTTATACAAGCCCTCAATCCCTCGCCCTTCACTCCCACTCCGCACCCTAACCACCTCCGCCCGACCCCGACTCACCTCCGCACCCGGACTCACCA